AGAAAGAGCGTTGATCTCCACCTCCACAGGCCGTGCAACCAACAATTAAACACGATTTCACCATTTTTCACTGTCAATACTGCCTAAGGCTGCCACCCAATATGGCGGACGCGCTGAGTAGTCACGTGAGCGTGACGTCACCTGAAAACCCCCTATTGTAACAGTACTAGGGCTGAGGTTGATGATGTTTCACGAGGACACGAGCACATGAGAACGCACAAGTACACATAATGGAAACAGCGTTTGGCTTGAATCAAGGTGAAGAAGAAGCCATTCCTGAGCTCTATAAGAGGGCTACTAGGATCTGGTAACACCTTGGCTTCACATCACATGACTTCAACTTATTAATCCTAATAGAAGAGAAAACTTTTGTGTTTATGTTCCATCCTGTAATTGTAACCAGAAGTAAATATTGATATAATTTGGCCCCATTAAAAAAAAATCATAAAACAACTGTTATCATTTATTTATTTTTCAGAAAAATTATTACTTTTACTTTGCACTACTCTAGATGTTCTATAGATGTATTAGTTGAAAACAAAGAAAAAAAACTTTTTGGTTATTCAATCTTAACATGTGATTAATAGTATTTGAGTTATTTTAAAAACATCTACATTTCATTTTAATTGATGAATCAACCAGGTTTTGGATAATCAGCTGAGTGTAACCATAACTAAACATTTATTCATGTAGTATGACTGACTGGTGACACTTCATCCCTCCTATGTGTGAATCATCAGTTGACAATAAAGCTTTTTCTGATTCTCAGCTAGTGCTAATCATCCAGAGTGACGCATCTCCTCTCAGAGAGCATCTTTGGCAGAGTTCAGTCTGTGCTCTTCCCACAGCAGACTGATGCTGCTGGGACTACTTTCTGTGGTGGAAGCATCTGTCAGTGACTGAGACAGGACTTACAGTGAAGCTGTTGTTGACGTTCTTGGTGCTGGATTCGGCCACGCTGGCGTCCGTCAGGTCCACCTCGTCAAAGATGATCGACTAGAGAGACATGAGGGCAGATTAAAGCCTATTTATCGCTAACCAATCAGATAGTTCCTGAGCAAACTCAGTCTCCGCCCACTGTTTCTCTCACCTTACTGGTCTGAGCGTAGTACAGAGTCCTTCCTCTTAGCTTGAAGTATCGTCTCTTCCAGCGCTGGAAGGAGCTGGTCTGTTTCATAAGCGTCCCTTCCTTCAAAACGGTCTGTAAGACATCATCGTTGACATCATCAATGACATCATCAGATTCAACAGCAATCCCTTTTTAAAGGCAATTTGTACAGGAGAGTTACTTCTGGAGTGCCACAGGGCACAGAGCTTGCTTTGGTCAAATAATGACCTTTTCCTTTTTTATGACGTTCACATCTTGGGACCAATGTTAAATTTGTAGTGAATTGGTTTAAAGGCACACTATGCAACATTTTTCAGTTAATTAATGTGTTCCATAACGTTATGGATGA